TTAGGCTTGCTCACCTGCAGTGCTGGGGAAACCACTACTGTGCAACTGGCCCGGGCAGGCTGGCACATGGGGGCCGCACCCCTCCATCGGTCCCAGCTTCTCCCTCCTGGTCACCACTCTTGTCCCCTCTCTGGGGCCTCCTGCACTAGCCCCACGAGGCCTAGGTCCTTAGCACAGGCCCTGCTCCCACAAGCCTTGGGTGATGGGGCAGCAAACACACCGGGCTCTGCAAAGCCCTCGATGCACCCAAAGATGTTGTTGATGGGGGTGGAGGTTCTGTGGTTGTTGACCGCGAGGTGCAGGCCTGGCCCAGGACCCAGGTGATAAAGGGACTCTGGGAGGTGACCCTGCCATTCCTGGGGGGCCACTGGGCCTTTGAGCGTCCTGGGAAGTAGAACAGAAAAGGTTGGAAGTGACAGAGAGGGTCATGTTACGTACAGAAGACCTCCAAGCCTCCCTCTCACTCTTTGTCTCCCTCCCACACCCTGGCTCAAGATCTCTGCCCTGCACCGCCCAGGGAGCAGCACAGCCAGGGCCGCCCTGGACAGCTGCATATAGGATGTATCCTGCTTGAGTGCCCAGAAGAGCTGTGTGAGATCTAGCTAGAGGTCCAATCACCAAATAGCATGCCCTGGCAAGTGGAGTGTCCTTGTAGAAGCATCACCTATCTCTCATTCACCCAAAGGCACTGAGAGCCAGATGTAGCACCCCTCACCTCATCACCAGGTCCCCCCAAGATCCTCACCTCAGCAGGTGGGAGGCAATGTTTGCACTGATGGGCTGGACAGGAATGCTGGGGAGGCCCGAGGATGACACTGGCGGGAACTGGGTTTGATTGAAGGAAGGGAAGCCAGGTGTGTAGGGGTCCCCAGTTCCCAGGTGCACCTGTGGGGAAATGGGTACCCATCCTACAATTGCAGCCAGGCTTGTTCCAAGGTGATGGGGAGCTCAGGGCCACACTGTTGGCTCCCCACACTCACGTGTCCGTACACAGCCTGCTGGCTGGATAGGCCTGGCTTGTGCAGGTCCTGGGAGAAGTCTGCTGGGTCAGGGTACAAAAGCACCCCACGGGCCCCAGCATGCTGTGCAGTGGCCACCTAGAGAGGCCAGGAAGCCAGGAAAAGTGAAACAGCCCTTGCAATTGTCTGTCCTTCTTTTCTGTTTTTCATTACTGGTGGTTGAACCCAGGGAACACTAAGCTATCCCCAGCCGCTTTCTTATTCATTTGTTTTGGTAATGAGGATGGAACTCAGCGGTTTCACAGTGAGCTATGCTCAGTCCTTTTTGATTGTGAGACAGGGTCTTGCTCACTAAGTTGCTCAGGTTGGGCTAAAACTTATGATCCTCCTGCCTTAGCCTTCTGAGTGCTAGGATTACAGGCCTGAGCCACAGTGCCCAACACCTGTCCATCCCTTTTTTAAATTTTATTTATTTGTGTGTGTGTGTGTGTGTGTGTGTGTGTGTGTGTGTG